TGAGGTTAGAGGAACAGAAGACGCAGCCACACTACGACGTGTACCAAAGGAAAAACAGAAACTAAGGCTGTAAACACGACTTCCTCCCGTCACCTAGCATTGGCTGATGGTTCGATTCCCCATCAAGTGTGGTGGCGTGGACCAAGAGAGACCACAGGATCATGAGGAGGTGGGGCTACCCGCATCAATGCTCTCACTCGCCTGCTGCTACATCACCATCTCCCAGGAAACGCAGGTGATCTGACTGTTCGTCACCACACCCAAGACCCCCGGCTTGTGCTGTTCCTCCTCAGTGAGTGGGGTCATCCCCGGCTGCTTATCAAAGAAGAAGCTGGACTACCAGGTGCTGCAGTCCTGGATGTGAGGGAGGACTTCACCACATGAGCTGCTGCTGGACGTAGAGCTGATGCACCTTTGATAGTAGTTGGAGGCCGCCACGAGAGACCCTCCTGCTGGCATAGCTGCCATTGTTGGGCTGCTGGTCACTGCACACTGTGCTGATGGAACCCTTGTGTGGACCCAGACGTGCTTAATGTTCGGGAGTACTCACTTCGATCAGCTGGCGAGGCTGGGGCAGTGAACGTTAGGCAACGGGGCCCATTTGAAAAGAAGTTTTGGGTAAATGTGTGTCACAAAACAGTGCAAGCAGGAGAAGGACCCAAACGCAAACTCACCAGAACGGGAACTTAACTCAAAAATGCAGCTTTAATTGCTGAACAGAAATAAAGGTGATACAAAACATTGCAAACCAAACTGGGAAAAACTAATACACGAGGAGACTCCGGGAGAATCACACACAGCTATGAGGGAGGACGCGACACTAACAAAGAAACACAAGGCTTAAATACACTGAAGGATAATGAGGATAATGAGACACAGGAGAGCACAGCTGGGAGTAATTAGACTGAACTAGACAAGGGAAGCAAAACTAGAAACACTGACATGAGACACAGACCTTCAAAGTAAAACAGGAAACACACTGATAACTGAAACCTAGGGAAATGACAATAATGAAAACCGTACAACCAAGGACTTAGAACATAAACCATATGTAAACATACACGGCAGACCCAGTGGCATTTTGATACTTTTTATTAATGCTTTGATGGTTGCTGTCCACAATACTCACAGAGCTGCAGCTCTCCTGCTTCCCGCTCAACATTATCACAACAACAACGCCAACCACCGGACCCAGTACAATATTTAATTCGGCGGGGCGTGATTGCGGATGCCATGCAGGTGCGCCTGCCTCCTCTGCACGGCACCGCAGGCCACGCCCCGCCACACCATAATATAAAAATACAAGAACTCAAACTGGACCGTGACAATGTGACCCTCCAACTTTCGAGTGAGTTTCAGTGACGCTGTGGTATCTTTCTTTTTTCAGGCTGCACTCAACTTTATTTTGTTTGCAGTGAAGCGAGAGAGGCTAAGAAAAGCCAGTGGCAGTGCTTGTTTTTTTTCAGCAGGCCTTTTCTCACCGTCTCTCTTCTCGTCTGTTTTTCTTTCCTTCTCCTTCTGTTGAGTCTCTTCACAGCTTCTCTTGTCCTCGTCTTTCCCGTCCTGTGGTGCTGTCCGTTCTGACTGTAACAACTTAAAAATATAATAAATAAATAAGTAAAGATTGAATAAACCATCATAATCTATTGGACCCATATACCAAAAGCTCTAATGATCCATTTGGGAAAATAAAGCATTGCTACAGTGCTGGACAGGACAGACAAAAAAGAAAAAAGAAAGAGCTCATTAAGTTCTCATAAAGAAAAGAAACCATTTTTATGCTACTAAGAGCTAAAGTTATTTCAGTAACTACAGCCTGCATTGCTGTCTAAGCATTTCATGGAATGTCACATAGTTTTTCCCTGCCGGCGTCTCTCCATCTACTCTGACATCTTCCCCTTGTTTCCTCTGTCCAGACCCACATCACGGCACCCCCATGCTGCTGGAGGGGGTGAGGTGTCTGGGTGCCAGGAAAGACGCCCACACAAAGCACAGCAGTGATCGTAAGAAGATATGAAGTGTGTAACTGCTGAAAGTACTCAGTGACTGGGTCAGGGAGCAGTCGAGGGGAGAAACATGGATCCATTAATTAATAAGTAGAATTCATCTGAAGGACAAACAAACTGCCCTGAAAGTGGAAAAAGGTTTTTCATCACAGTCACAGTCATTACATTTACACGAGGCTGCCATAGAGACATAGAGCCTCTGCTGCTGAGGCCAGTCAAACCAGTGTTACAGCAC